AATTTTCTTCATTTTTTTAGTAGTAATTTTTTAGCGAGAAAATTAAGGATTATTTTTTTTTTTAAATTTTTAACAATTTTTTTTTTTTTTTTTTTTTTTTTTTTTTTTTTTTTTTTAGCGGAAGCATTAAGTTTTTTTTTTTTAGCAGGAGCATTAGGGGTTTCGTCTTTCGTCAGCAGAATTTGAGGTTTCGTCTTTCGTCAGGGGTTTCGTCATTTGGGGCTTAGGTTTCGTCTTTCGTCACCAAGCAAAAAAGGTTTCGTCTAACAACTATAGGTTTGGGCGGCACAGTCATACAAGGCAATGAACTCGGTGTTGGATATGAGGGTGTCAATCTTGAAGATAAGACTGTTTGTAGGAGGAGAGGGACGATAAGAAAATTGCTCGATCGTTTGTCTGAGAGGCACATTCTGCTTATCCGTTCTCCGCCAATGGTGGGCAAAACGGCCCTTGCTCAATTGCTGGAACATTACCTCCTTAATTCGGACGAAGGTCATGACAAGCGTGTTTTGCGCATCTCTCTATTATGGATGAGCACTGTGAGGGTGACAAGGGATTTTTGTTTGAGGACGAGTTCAAGAAATTGATGTGCGTGAACTGGAACGACTTTCTTTCTGAGTGTAGTCACGTCCAAACGATTCTTATAGTTGATGAAGTCCAGAAAATTTATAAGCCAGGAGGTGAAAACACTGAACCAGCGAATGGTGGCAAGGTATTTTGGAACACGTTCAAGGCTGTACAACAATATAAACTTCTTCAGTTTGTAGCATTTGCATCCTATGGCTACCGCGGTGCTTATGATAGTGATGGGTGTGGGCAAACAGTGAGTGTGTCACCATATCAACTTGACAAGGGAAACACGTGGGGAATAGAGGATATGAAATTTACGCGAGAAGAGTTTAACGAATACTTTCAGAAATTCTCTCAATATCATCATTTCTCGTTGTCACCTGAAGATGCACAGTTGCTCTCCAGTTACGTGTATGAAGCGACAGCCTGTCACCCAGGACTGGTTGCATATGTTATGAACAGAATTTTGGATCGTTTTTCCGCTCAAATTAAGCAAGGAACGGAGCGTATGACCTTTGTAAAGGTTTTCCAGTTTCTCAAATCTTACAGCTTTCACTCATCCTTGTTGGTAAGTGGTGATTAATGATAGTGGTAGATGGTTTCCTACTTCATATTCTTCGACGCCATTATTGATATTGCTATTTCAATTAGGACATCCGCGCTGCGCCTCGCCTCACTTCAATGACAGAAGAAGAAAAGAAACTCGCAGACTTCATTCTCTTCCATCCAAAACCCATTCGTTCAAATAATATTCCCAACCATGGACGTCTGATCAAGACTAACTTTCTTGTTGATATTCAAAAAGACAGAAACGAACAAGTGTTAGACTTTGCTGCACCATTGCTTCGTGCAATTTATATCCATAACCGTCTTGGTTCAACTATGCGTGCTCCATCACCACCTGAAGATTTCCATGACTTTCTCATCAAGGTCTTTGCAGCAATGAATCCAATGGTGCTGCGTAAATCCCTGGGTATTGGTATTGATGGTCGACTTCTGGAACGGGTATGGCAGATGGAGTGGTATCGAGCAGCAATGCAGATCCTTCCTGAGAGTATTCATGCCTCTGTGGATGTTGGTGCTGTATTTGGTAGTTGTGGGTATATTGACTTTTATGTAGACGATAACAGGAACTGGGCTATTGAGCTTTTGCGAGATGGTGAGAAGGGAGAAGAACATCTGAAGAGGTTTGTCACTGGTGGGACCTACGGCACAATAATGGATTATGCAACAGCGTATGCTGTAATTGACATTAGACAGAATCAAAGGGGTAGCCTACCTCTGAAACAAAAACAGAACTTGGTGTACGCTATGTGCAATGAAAATTTTGAAGGTGTCAAATTATTGTTTCCTGATGGAAAAGAGCAGTACGTTCGGTTACTAGGATCATCAGATATGATGTTGGAATTGGGTATAGATGTTTCTGAGCTTACAATGGTTTCAGCTGTATGAACCCATTGATAGTAATCCATACATGTCAATAATTTGTCATTGATAAATATAAAAAGTATGTAGATAAAGCATGTGAAGAACTATAAAAGTAATAAAATTACATATATAGGATTACCCGTATATGACAAATAGCGAATACCATAAGTCTACTGAATACGAAAAAGCAATGCGTTTCTTAGAGATAGGTTGCAATTGCGGTTGCTCAAAAAAGATTCCGAGAGAAAAGTTTGCCGAGTTACGCGAGGCGTTTCAAGTTCTTTCTAGGTCTGAACAAGATGTATTTTTAATGGCCCAGTTGAAAGCGATGAATGGTGGAGAAGTAACTGTCAGTCGAGGATTCCCTTATGTCAAGAAAATCCCGGGCTAAGGATCTACAAAAATTAGGCTCGGAGCCAATAAAAATTGCA